TCGGAAATAAATTATTATAAAAATGTTGTTTTTGTAAATAAAAAAAATTATAAATAAAAAAAATAAAATTAAAATAAAAATAATATATTAATTTCATTGAAAGTAAAATGAAAAACTCATACAGAAGCACGAATTCGATGCTCATGAAGTTTACAATAAAAATGAATAAAATATTAACTTACTAATAATTATAATATTTTTCATAAATGGTAGTATTTAGTGCAATAAGAGCTCTCGGAGTTAAAAAATACTTTTCATCATTTGAGCCAAACATAGAAAAAAAAAAAGAAAAAAAAGTAAGCAGACCTTAACTTCATGTAGTGACCACGCGCCATGCATTGCGGTTGGCCATATGGTTCCCAGAGCGGAGAGTCAAGAAAATCCAAACCATATCATGGAAAAAACCAGTGGTAGGATTAGTGATGGCAAGGAGCGGGAGCGTCCCCACCGGCCACCTATGTAGGTTAAAGAAGGAGCAGACACCCCAGGGGACCACTCTTGAGTGGACCCTACTCAGCAAGCAATAGAGGGACCCGCCGCCTTTCTCCACGCTCGCCATTTCTCTCTCTTACACAACAACAACAACAACAACTAAAGTGGTCACTGCACATTCATATTTCAGAGAACAAAAAAAAACAATTCAAAGCAAAAGCTACAATCACACTATGCTCTGCTAACTAAAACCATCTACGCCTTAGCAGAGCTAAGTCTAGAGAGAGAGAGAGAAAGAAAAAAGGCGGAGCCGGAGCTCTGACCGCTCTGTCTCCACCAAATCTCTAATTTATCTTTTGTTTCAAAGCTTCTAGAGGGAGAAACTGCAGACCCCTTCTCTTTGAGATTGATGAGAGTAGAGTTCCAGCTCTCTTAATCCTTGATTTCGTGGTTGTTGAATCAAAGACCTCTACTTTCTATACCATAGCTTATTTGGGGTTCGTTGTGGATTGGTAGCTTCAATGGTGAGTGACTTTTTGTGATTGATTAGTTGAATTTTTTGTTTTATGATTCCTTATTCTTTGAATGGGATCTTTCTCTGTATCTTGAATTGTCTTGATTCTTTTAAGTTCTTTCCTGATTTTTTTTTTTTTTTTATTGGTTGAAGGTTTTGCGTGTAATTTAAGGCTGTATATTGGGAATGTATCAATAAGAATATAGGAAATAGAGGAGAAACTGGCATTTCACCTTTTTAGAAATTGTGGGTCTTGCTTCGTCTTCTTCTTCTTTTTGCTGCCTTTTGATTTATTCGGGTTTCTGTGATGGTATTTTAATATCCTATCTTTGTGTTTCATTTAATTGCTGGTGAAGTTAAGTATTTCTCCAGTCACTAATTTTGTAATTGTTTGATCTGATGCGATTTTAGAGGGTTATTCAGCATTTATCTGATGCATCTTATCTCTCAAATTTAATGAAGTTTGAAGATTGATAGCCCTGTTGTTGTTGTTGTGAGTAGCTGTGTATTGTCAATATCTTTGGTAAAATCTTGTTTTGAGAGAGATAATGTAGGGGAACATCCATTATTTTTCTTTTGCTCTCATGGTCTAGGAAACCAAAATCAATATAGATATGCAGATTTGGTAGTTTAAGTTAGATCAAGTATTTTCCAGTTCTATATTCCTACTTTAGAATAAAAAAATTATGTGCTATGGAATGAGACTATCAGAGGAAGAATGGAATCCAAGATGCTTTTCCACATTTTCAGGTTGCTTGGCTATAAGACTATTCCATGTAAAGATTTGTGGATATTGGAAATGGAAAGGGTTCCAGAGTCAAGGATGCTTCCTCAGAAACTGCCTGCTCTTGCTCAGCTTTCAAATGCATACACAGCAACAAGGAGAGAAGCAGATCACATTTCGATTATGCGCACAGGGTTGGTGAGAGAAGTGGATCAATCTTATGAAAGAAATACCCAAGTTTTAGAGTTGCCTGCACCAGTGAGAATGGTGAAAGGAAAAGATTTTTTGCATGAACATGAGGAAATCATGCCCGATGTTGCATTTAAGGAAAGTGTTGATTCATTTGAGGAAGGTGGACCTAGTTCTTTCTCCGGTGCCAGTCACCCTCCAGAACCTGTTGATACTGATCTAATAAGAACAGTATATGTACCAATTAGTAAAAGTAAATCTGATGCTGCTGGGTGTTTAGCGAAGAGCTTGTCAGTAAAGGGGCCTTTTCTAGAAGATCTTTCTATCAAGGTTCCCCTTAAAAAACCAAGCCCCATTGTTCTTTCACCAGCAGAAAGTCTGGTTGAAGAACCTAATGACTTGTGTGCATCACCTTCACCATTTACAGTTCCCCGTGCATCACAAAATACAGATAACTCTCTTCTTCTGCCAGATTCAGAGGAAAAGGAATGTGTTTGGGATGCTTCTTTGCCTCCAAGTGGTAATGTAAGTCCACATAGTAGCATTGATAGTACTGGTGTTGTCAGAGCTATGAGCATTGTCAATAGCTGTGCTAGTACATATCGGAGTGATGCAATTACAAGCGATGGCATGTTTAGTATGGAGAGGAACTGTGAGAGTACTAAAGGGAGTGTTAGGGGGGATTCACTTGAGAGTGCAAAGACTAGTGTTAGCCGAGCAAGTGACAGCAGTGGCCTTAGTGATGACAGTAATTGGAGCAACGTCACTGGGAGTGCTAACAAGCCTCATAAAGGAAATGATCCTAGGTGGAAGGCCATCCTTGCAATCCGAGCACGAGATGGAATTCTTGGCATGAGTCATTTTAGATTACTTAAGAGGCTTGGTTGTGGTGACATTGGCAGTGTATATCTATCAGAGTTGAGTGGTACTCGCTGTTATTTTGCAATGAAAGTAATGGACAAGGCATCCCTTGCAAGTCGAAAGAAGTTGACTAGAGCTCAGACAGAAAGGGAGATTCTGCAGCTGCTGGACCACCCATTTCTTCCCACTCTGTACACACATTTTGAAACTGACAGATTCTCATGTCTGGTAATGGAATATTGTCCAGGAGGTGATCTACACACCTTGCGGCAGCGGCAACCCGGGAAGCATTTCTCTGAGTATGCTGCGCGGTATGTCTTCTACTCTTAATGAAATTCTCTAAGCTGTGTAGTTTTATACTTAGAAACACATCCTCTCTCCTTCTCCTTTTCGCTTGTCATGGCATGTTCATCTTTTGTGAAATGTCTTTTTTTTGTTAATTTTAATATTGCATTTCAACTTGTTTGCAAGTCTCTTGCCATGTGTCCTTGTTCTTGCCAAATTATGATTTTAGGCCCCTGGGCAAGTTGACACTTCATTAAGATTTGGATAGAAGAATACTTAGCATGCCATCACTTTATTAAGATTTGCCTCAATTAGTTCATCCTATCCTAAAAAAATCTTTGTTAACTTAGCTTGATCCCCTCCAGTGCCAAAACTATAATAGTTGTTGATGCTTCTTCAGCCATACGTCAATTGGTTCCTGGATTGTTTGAGTGGGACATTTGCAAGACTTCCTAGCTCTTGACAAGTCAAAAACTAGACAAAAGGCCATATGTAGGTGCAAGTTATGGAGCTAATTTCAGTTGCCATATCTGGAAGTCATACTCTTTAATCTACTTGTTGGGTTCCCAACATGAACAAAGTTCTTTTTATATCTGGTTGGAGTGAGCAGATTGAGCAATGGGAACATTTTGGACGTGAAGTAATGAATTTTATTTCTTATAATACGTTATACATCTATCCCTTGTTTTATTTTGCCATACATTTCATGTAGATGGGAGGGAGTGAAGGAGGCTCAATCTGAAGATGTTGACCTTTTTGTTAAGATGCTCCTTTCAAATGGCTCAAATTGATTTGATCTTATCATAATGGACCTAATAGTTAAACCCTATAAGCATGCTTATTGTTGGGGTAGGCAAGTGGTGCATAAGCTGCTTCAGTTATGCCAGATAAAATCAATGTTAGGTTCATTTTAGAACCTCTGAGCTCTATGATCATGCTCAGATAATCAGGACCCCAAAGACTTAACTTCCAGGATGGCTCAATGGTCATGCTTAGATCATCACAACCTGTTAGGCTTACTAAAGGCCGAGCATCTCCACATACCACATAGGCTTTACTGCTTTAGTGCTGAAATCCAATTTCTCAATTTGTTTACCAGGAGTTTGAATGGCATCTACCGTGTTTCAGAAATTAGATTGGTTTGATATTGCTGTGTGATCTGAAGGGCGGAAACATTTCATTTTGTCAAGTAATTTCTCAACTAATCATTAAATCGCTCTCTTCTCTGCAGATTCTATGCTGCAGAGGTTTTATTGGCACTTGAGTATCTCCACATGCTAGGGGTTGTCTATAGGGACTTGAAACCTGAAAATGTTCTAGTTCGTGATGATGGCCACATAATGCTCTCAGACTTTGACCTTTCTCTAAGATGTGCAGTGTCTCCCACGCTGATAAGATCCTCAGCATTTGATTCTGATCCTTCAAAACGTGGAGCTGGTGGCGCTTTCTGTGTCCAACCTGCCTGTATTGAGCCAACATCAGTGTGCATCCAACCTGCCTGCTTTATGCCCCGGATATTCCCTCAAAAGAACAAGAAGAAAACCAAGAAAACACGAGCAGAATTTGGGTTGCCATCTAGCATGCTTCCAGAGCTTGTTGCAGAGCCTACTGCAGCTCGATCAATGTCCTTTGTTGGCACACATGAATATTTGGCGCCTGAAATTATCAAAGGAGAAGGACATGGCAGTGCAGTTGATTGGTGGACCTTTGGGATTTTCTTGCATGAACTGTTATACGGTAAGACCCCATTTAAAGGCTCAGGAAACCGTGCTACACTGTTTAATGTTGTTGGACAGCAACTCAGGTTCCCAGAGTCTCCAGCAACAAGCTATGCTAGCCGTGATTTAATCCGAGGCTTGCTAGTTAAAGAACCACAGCACAGGCTAGGGGTGAAGAGGGGTGCAACTGAGATCAAACAACACCCTTTCTTTGAGAATGTAAATTGGGCTCTAATACGGTGCAGCACTCCACCAGAGGTGCCAAGACCTGTCGAGAACGAGCCACCTGGGAGATTTGGTCCAGTTGACCCTGTTGGGGTTGGCAGTAGCAGCAAAAGGATGGTAGGAGGGACTGACATGAAATCTGGGGGTAAATATCTCGATTTTGAGTTCTTTTAGCTTAGATAGTTATCATGCCAAGTTGTATTATTAATGTTGTCATTACTTAGTTTGGATGATACTCATCATCTTATAATCTCATCAAATCAAAATTCATCTCAATTTTAAAAACGAGTAGTTTATGTTTACAAACTATAACATGTTTCTCTCAATTGTTTTCCTCTTTCTGAAAATCAATATCGTCCCTACAAGTTCCTCAAGAACAACTTTCTAGTTTCTGCTTTCATGGAGGTGCGGCCTTCAAGTCCATTTGCAATCATGTACTCTGGACCAGTTCCTTCTTTTTTTCTTTTTTTCTTTTTTCAGGGGGAATATTGGAATCCATCTCCCTTAGGAGGCGAATATGCCTTACCAGTGACTAAAGTTAGTAAAGGAAAAGGAAGGAAATTTGTTGGGGGGGTGGGGGTGGGGGTGGAAGAGAGAAAAAAGGAAGGGAGAGAGAAGAATTAATAATAATTTTATTTGGATAATTTAAAATATAAGAAAGAGAGAAGAGGAGAATATTATTTTTTTATTTAATTGAATAAAATAAAATGTTTATTATAAAATTAATTAAAATTTTATAATTATATATATATATAAATAAAAGTTAAAATAAAATTTTTAATTATATTTAAAAATAAAAATAAAAATAAATTCAATCCTTCCTAATTCCCTCGAATTGAAGGGATTAGAAAACCAAAAATTTGAAAGATTTTCGTCTCCCTTTATGTGCTTCTCTCTCTTTCCATCTCCATTAATAATTTTCAACTAATCTCATGAAATGAGAGAGTCTCCCTCACTCTCCTTCTCCTCCTACACTTTCAATCCAAACAAAGGCTAAATTTTGTCCTCTCTAGCAACTTGGATTCTAGAGAATATGGAAATGGCATAGAATGAATTAAAGAGAGAACATGAACCCCAAAATGTTATCTATGGCCGAAGAGTTGCTTTACAGGCACAATTCAGGACCACAACTCAACAGCTTGAAAAAGATGTTCTCGACTTTTCTACTTTTCTTTGTACCAATTACTGTAATAACAGCCAAATAGGGGTCTTCTCACTTCTCAGTTTCTTTCTGCAGCACTGGTCCAAACCCATTCCAAAGATTTCGAGCAATGGGCCAAATCATGTTCCCATGCGTCCATTGAAAAAAAATCTGAGGCTTCAGATCCAAGAGTTGAGGAACCCATAAAAGAAAACAAAATCACCCAGTAATTTATTCAAGTAAAAACAAACATTCTGAATTTATACCTTTAAAAATTTACAACTTTGCTCATTTTCAATGTCAGTTGAGATCCCATCTTGTAGCCGGTGGATTCAGTCCACTCACTCATATCTTTGGTTATATACAAACCTCAGAGCTGTTGAGGCTTAGTGTAGAGATTTTTTTTTTTTTAATAAATTTTCTGGGTCTTGTGATGGTAATGATCTGCTTCAATGACAACAATTTTCTTGTTTGGCCTTTTCCCTGGCTGTAGTTTATGGAGAAAAGTAAGGAAATAGAAGTCAGATTCCATGGAAATGAATTTCCCAATAAGTTGAAAACAAAAGAGAAGCAGTGAGTGAGATGAACAGACCTGGTTTTGGTAGATTAGAACTAGAGCAGGTGTGCACCGAAGTCAGCTGCTATTTCTGAAGTGACGTTTCCATCATTCACACTGATGGAAGAAAACATTTCCACCAAAAATTTCATCTTTCCTCAAAAAAAAAAAGAGAAAAGAAAAGAAAAGAAAAAGGAAAACATTTCCACCTAAATTGGACACATTATCACTTTGTCTCATATGATTCAACATCGCCAGCGCAGTGCGCAGCTCTCAGATCAATAATGAAGTGCCTGGTCCCTACCAAGACAAGCCGTACATAAGCCCTTGTGAGAAACAGGGAAAAGATGTGCAGGCAACACAAGATGTGTATTTGTTCATCTGCTCAACTTTCAAACTTTTGATACAATAATACAAGCAATATCCTGTATAAACATTTCCCTTCCTCTTGACGAAAAAAAGGATAACAGAATCACAAAAAGAGCTCCCATCCATTTACATACTTGTCAAAAAAAAAAAAAAAAAAAAAAAAACAAAAACCCACGAAAATAATAACACTTCCCATAGCAGCTCACAGCCAAAATTCCCATGTCTTAGGAATCTCGACTTTCCTCAAAAATTCAACTAGAGGAAAGAATTATTCCATCTATTTTATAGCATAGGAACGGTTGCAAACAGATTCAAGTGACTCGGTAAATAAGGCAGAGAAACTGGTTAATGCTTGGAAAACCCCTGGCAATCCTGTTTGTAGATTGTTCAGTGTCATTGCTCTTGTCACCTCTACTGCTTTGGAATGCCTCACCATTTCATCTTCCACCCGCCTTTGGCAGGCTGCAAGCTCAGTTTTTTTCTCGGCAAGTGGGTCACGAGCATCCAAAACCTGTCCATTATCAGGCCCCACATCAGGAATGCTGATACCGACTGTAGAATATGAGAGGTAGAATTTCCTTTCTATGTTCCGTAGGGCTGAAGCTTTCTTCTCAAGCTCCTTTGATACAGTTTCAGTTCGCTTTTTAATCTTCAGTTCCTCAGCTTGCTTAACGGATATCACATGGACCACATTGATAAAGCTCTTGATGGCTTCAGAAGCGACTGTATCAGGAACTCGCTCAAGAGCAAGCTTCCACTCATCACAAAAAGCAAATGCATCAGAGAGTTCCCTATTGCCATCAACATTGTCCTTGGTTACAGGGAGAAGGGCGAGTTTGAACCAGCCTTGGAGGGAACAGATGAAGTCCCTTTGAAATTTTATCAGGCAACAGAAACTAGAATGCCAGCCTGAAACAGCTGACTCCAGATCACGGGTTGCCTGTCTGTGCATTTCTGAAGTAGAGTCACCTTTGCCAGAGTTGTTTACAAGGCCACGTACTTGCTGGACAATGTGGTTTTGGACTTCATGGTACTGATGCATTGACCTCCACATGTACATGAAGCTGCACTCAATAAATTTTATGTGTTAAGTTTCAAACTTTATCAATTCAAACTACAACTGTTTTAGGCCGGCCAAATAAACAAATAAATAAAAACTGTTTCAGGCTGGCCAAAAAAATAAAAAATAAGAAATAAATGTATAAACTGTTACAGGCCAGTCAAATAAAAAAACAAATGTTTCCTTATCAGACACCCAATAAACGGGTAGCAAGTTGCTCTAAGGTCATAAAACCCAATCATGATTGTTAAGCCAATTTTTACAAATTTCACTTCAATTATCATGTGCAGAATATACAAGGATCTATAGATGGAAACATGGTCATGGAGATAGTGTAATACTGGGGCCTGTCTCTGATTTTAAAAATATACTATCAATGGGACAATGCAGTGGAATACAAGATACATGTGAACAATAATGGTTCACCTGCACTGAATTTTCAAAAAGATGAAAAAAAGATACTAATGGAGGTAAGGATGACCATCAAAGCTATTGAATCCAAGGATTCATCTTCATTAGAGGGAATGTTTAGGGATTTCACTGAAACAGAGAGGCACCTAAAAATATTTCATTATCCAGAAGCATTATGTAATAGGCATGATGGAATAAGAATTGTCAGTGCTAAGAGTTCTTTCAAACATTTGCCAATTAAGAGAGTTCAGAATTGAAATTGGAAGCCAGAGAAACATACCCATGACAGAGTTCCACAAGCTGAGGAACAAGATCACTGTCTCTAAGACCAATAATGGCAGTCGAGGTAGTGGAGACAGCCTGAGAAGTGACAATAGACAGTGACTGCAGTCTTTTTATAGAAGCCTTGGTCTTATCTAACTTGGTTTCATCCTCCCCCTTGTACTCCTGCCTCTGCAACACTGCCAGCTTCTTCTCATGCTCAATTGTCACACCTTCTCTAGCCTAAAATCATTGACAATTAACCACCCTCTTAGGAACAAACAATTTGAAAATAAATGTTGTAACATAAACCAAATGCAACAACATAATATCATCACCACACGTTGCCAGTAAGCCTACAAACAACAAAATGCTCCCACAATACCCATTCCTTTCTTATCCAGATAGAATATATGACTCCATGGTAACAAATTCCAACAATTTCAGGTCAACTAATAGGAATTGTTTAAAGAATCACTCGGTCCCCTTGGATCTGGCATGGTGACTGACACCACTTCCTATTAACTTAAGAGGTCCCCAGTGCAAAAGAAAGCAACATTTCATAAACCAGGATAGTAGCCTATGGTACAAGTTAGTTGGGCACTAAAAATAAAATGCATTCAACTTTGCCTTACCACACTGGCAACAAGATAACATGTTAGATTGGTCCACTCCATTTTGCCTAAAATGCATACGGGCAGTTTGGTCATTACATCATAACACCAAATCACACAACTAGTAATGAAAGGCGACAATATAATCGCAAACAAAACCAAGATTATCTATCACTAATGGGACAGCGAGGCCGTCCAACTGACCAAAACATCGGTGCCATCCTACGCTATCACATGAACGATTTGTTTTCATAAAGATTAGAGATTAAACTCTAAACTAGTGGCTAAGAACATAAGTAATTCTATCATCAGACCACATGATTGACGGTATCTCATCAACGGTTTTCAAGCAATGGGTCCCCGCCCCATCAGATCACAGGAGGGGCATTATCAACAAATTGAAAAAAGAATTACAATAATAGAGTTGTGCGGTGGAATTACGCAACCAAAACAAGTTGTGGCCCTATTTGTGTCCTCCTTGTCTACAAAAACCAAATTTATTACTCTAAAGTATATAACTTTTATTGTCACATTAAAAAAAGAAATTTCATTGACCTTCACTTCCTCGTAGAGTTTCTTCTCCCAAGCCAAGAGCCGGTCCAGTGTGGAGCAGAGACTCTTTGGACCGCCCGGTTCATCCATGGCCGCCGTGTCCAGTCTATACTTCACCGCCAACGGCGGCTTTGACGTCCAGCTCGAGCTCAAGTTACTCAAGACACTGCTTGAATGATAGACAGTCTCTGTAACCGGAACAAAGAACCAATTCATAAGATTCAACTAAATTCCATTAAAATTTGAATTTTACAGAAAAGTCTTCACGAGTAACTTACTCTTCAATTGCTGGAAACTCCGGTCGAGCTGAGCCCGGCCGATCTCTAGCATCTCGGAGACCTGATCTCCGGCGTCAGCGGCCTTGTTGAAATTCTCTTTGATCGCATCCACAATCTCCTTTAAGTCCTTGTGCCTAACCACCATCTTCATATCCATCACTTCACTAGTTCTATAACTGCCCGCCGACGATCCCGGGTCCTCCGACTTATCCGATTTGGTGGCGGCGCGGCCGTACGTTTGCTGCGGCGGCGGCTGATTGTGGAGATTGCCGTGTTGCTTTTCTGATTCCGGCCTCACCGAGGCTTCGAAATTCGACCGGCTCTCAATCTCGGATCTGGATTCAAGCTCGTCCACTTCGTCGTCCGATGAAGTCGAGGTAGTGTAGCGGTCGTGGTCCCCCCACTCGCTACACTGTACTTCCTCTCTCTCCGTTTCTTCGTCGATATTGCTCCTCGCGTTGTTGTTTTTCCGATGCAACTGGTTGACCTTCTGTGAGTGGAAGAAATCGTACTCCGACCTTTCTGCTTCCATATCTTCTCCGGCGTCAACGGAGTGGTTGTTATCTGGACGTTGGTGGTATTGCTGGTTCTGTTGTGCTTTCCGGTCAAAGTACTCGGAGTCTGGTGGAGAGGGAGGGTAGAAATTCTCCCAGTTCCAGACGGAGGAAGTTTGGGAGGGAGTATTGGAGTAGGTGGAATTGGCTTGATAAGCAGTGGGATAGAAATTGTTGTAGAAACCGGATTTATTACTAACTGGCGAGGAGGAAGGACTCGACTCAGATAAAATGTGAGGGAGCTTAGGGGGTAACTTACGGGGACGGCGACGGTTAGAGGGTAAACTGGAAGCGGAGAGTATGTGTGGGAGCTCGGAGCTGGCGATGTTGGGAGAGGGCGACGGAGAGGGGGAGAAATGAGTAGGAGGGGGGGGCGGTCGGAGGGACGGCGAAGGAGACGGGGGGACACGAGGAGGAATAGGATGGACGTGGGATGGATGTGGATTGGTAGAGCGGAGTAGAACGGCGGGGGTTTGGTCAGAGACGGAGAGGCCGGGTTCGCCAGCAGCGAAAGAGGAAAGGGCAGAGCCCGTGAGGCGAAGGAAGCGGCAGTAATCGGAGTGTGCAGCTGCCAAGTGGTGACGCGCATGGACCGCCTCCTTCATCAGGCGGCGCCGCTCCTTACACCGCCTCACCGTGTCCTCATTGTCCAGCTTCGACGCCGTACAACCCATACCAAAAATCACAAACAAAATACAATTCAACCTAATAAAAACAAAGCTAAAAACAGAGAAAAGAAATTGAAGTGGTTTCGGCGGTGGCGCGTATTATACCAGTGGCGCCAGATTTCCACTGAATGTGAAGAGTAGGTGAGTGTGTGAGGACATACACTGAGGTCTCATAATCGGACTCTGGATATGACCCATTTTCTTTTTGTGACGTGAGTCTTTTAGGAAATAATCCGTGTATAATCTTTTTAGGTTAAATCATTAATTTGGTCACTAAATTATTTATAGACCTTTGATTTGGTCCTTAAACTAAAAAAAATTTTTGATTTGGTCTCTAAATTATTGTACGAACTCTCGATTTGATCATACTATTTACCAATTTGTCCCAAATTAGTTCTTTTTACAAAAAAAAAACTGATGTATCTAGTATTTAACGATAAAAAATAATAACTTAACGATAAAAAATAGTAATTTAATGATCACATGTCACATTAATAACGAGACATGTCAACTGTTTTTGTATAGAATGACCAACTTAGGGCAAATTGGTAAACAGTAAGATTAAATTGGGGATTCGTACAATAATTTAAAAACCAAATTAAGAATTTTTTTAGTTTAATGATTAAATCAGAATTTGTAAAATAATTTAGGGATTAAATTAAAATTTTAACTTTTTTTTGTTATTAAAATAATTAATTTTTTTTAAAAAAAATAAAATAAAATAATTTACCCCTATAATATCACTTAATTTTTTATTTTACAAAAATTATTTTTATGATATATTAAAATTTATTTTTAGATTGTACGTCGTAAAATGTCGGTTCAGTTTAATTAAATAATGGGGTGGCAGAGGACTGACTACTTTTTTGTATGACGGATCTTTTACAAAATTTTTGTGGTCCCTGTTTTTGATTGTAGAGCTTAAGGCTTCTAAGCAAAGCGCACTATTGGATTTTTCCCAATTAACATTTTAAAAATCAAACCTGGTATAAACAAACAGAGAAAGCGTTTTTTTTTTAGTATTAAGTTGTAAAATATTAATTATTAAGTTTAAAAATGTCTTTTAATATGAGAGTGCCGTCTATTTTTATTGCATATTCAGGGCTGAGAGAAATAGAGGAGGAAAGGAAAAAAAATAAATTTTATTTAATTATAAAAAAATAAAAAAAAAAGAGTGAAAAAATTTTTCATTTATTTTATTTTTTTAATTTAATTATTTATTTAAATAAAAAGAAAAAAATAAAAATATATAATTTCTCTCTCCTTCTTTCTCTTTTCTTTTTATTTTTTTCAACCCAAACATATAAAATTAATGATTAATTTTTTTTTATAATTTAATATAATTTAAATAATAAAATACTAAACTTTTTGAAACTAATAATAAAGAAGTATTAATTTTAACCACGTGATTGTAGATTTGATTCCCATATGGCACCAAATGTTTAGGTAGTTTCATGAGTTCCCGAACAGTCAATATCTTGAATTGCTTTGGTACTTAAAAAATTTGATGATGTTTTTTTGGGTAAATATTTTGATATTTAAATTAGTAATACTTTATAATCTAAAAAGTAAAAACTCTAAAGAAGAGTTATTATAAAGAGAAAAGTATAATAAAACTAGTACATTACATGAAAATAATTAAAGGTATTTATACATTTCATTCATAATAGTATCATCGCGTGTCATTGTTTTATTGATACATTTACCCTTAATCACGTACCTCTACTTTTGAGTTTCATACAACTTTTTACGCTTACTTGTTGATGTTGGGCCTATTCCCCAACAATTAGCAATCTAATGATGATGATGTTATTAGATTGTTTCTAACTTGTTAATTAAAAAAAAAAATTAATGATCACGCACATTGAATTTGCAATGAAGGAGATCCAAATTGTTGCTAAAATGTTAAAATTATCAACTCGTTACATAATAATCGGTGACAAGAGAGGCTCAAAACTTGAAAAGGAGAAGGAGGCCGATCTGTAACAAAGTATCCATAAAAGCATTGGAAAGCAAAACAACATAGATATTCCACTATGAATGGATACTCTTTTGAAGCAAAAAAACAAAGGGAAAAAAAGGAAGACAAGCGGAATTCGATACGGTGAAAGGGGTCAGTTTTTCCACCTAACTTTCCACTACAGTCCCTCTTTTCTGGCTGGGCCAACCATTACTCTATTGTTTTTCCTTTCATGGTTTGACAAAGGGTTGGGTCCGTTTAATTTTGAAACTGGAACTTTTGACGTTATTAACAATTTTTTTTTTTATAAGAGCAATGGTTAGTAGGTTAGTATTATTAGATATTAGCAACTGAGAATTCGAACAACTGAGAATTCGATCTCCAAATCTGATGAACAATTCACCGACATCAATAAGATATACAGTCATCATGCGGGTTGGTGGAGTTCATTAACGTTATTAACTTAACCACGTAAATAAAAGCCTAGTAAAAGCAAGTACTTCCTTCAATACCAGTCCTTTTTCTTGAGCATCAGATTCCCCCCTAAAATCACTTAAAATGTTCTTATCAAAAAAAGTCATCATCTTTCATCAATTTTCATACGGTTATTTTCATTTTGGTTTTCTACGTCAAAACATCACTTCCATTGACCATTAATTATTAGCCAAACACTGCTCTACAATTATCCAAGGCTTAGGGCCTGTTTGATAACTTTTGCGCTTTTGGCAACCAATACTTGTCTCAGCCTCATTTGATAGAGTTTCTAAGTGATCTTTTTCTTACAGCTCTTTATCTTAAAGTGTAGATTTATAGTAATTTTTAATTAATTTTGTAATTTTTAATTAATTTTAATTCATATTTTATGAATATATTTTGGATTGTAACATATAAAAAACGTATAATTATAACGTACCACCAAACCAAATCATCCATAAAAAATAAAATAACTAAACTACTTGGCTTATTGTATATTTAGTTTAAAAAGAATGGAGAGAAAATGAACGGAAGACCATTTTTATCAATTAAATTTTAAATATTATTTTTTTGGTATATCTGAATGGGAGAAAGAATAATCCTCCTATTTTCCTAAATTTTTCTTTTCCCAACTAATAATCCTTTTATTTTCCTAAATTCCTCTTTATCCAATTTAAGATTTAAATTTAAAATCTCTAATTTAAAATTCTAAATTCTTAACTATTGAATCATCCTTAAAATGAAATTTTAAATATCATAATTTAATTAATTAAAAAACTATTATCTCATCTCTTATCAATCTAAACATATTATTAATGTTAGTTTTGTTAAAAATAATAATAAAAAAATAATAATAAAAACCTATTAACTAAACAGCCTATCCTACCCCTTTAATTTTTGCTTCAAAAGGACGCTTTTCAAACTTAAAACGGGATGTACGAACTGACCCTCAGAATTATTTTTTACAGTTTCTACATAGCAGGGCCAAGTTTCTTCTCTTCCCTGGACTGCGACCCAAAGTCTCGCCAAAAGCTGCAGGAATAAACTAATTTATCTCGGCTTTGGGCGCTACAACCGTCCAAACAGGGTCTTAAAATAGAAGAAACAGAGCAATAGTAGGCAGCAATCCAAAGAAAATGATATAAAGTAGAAACTGGCATCTGCTGAAAAGGCAAACAATGTGGACCCCTAACGCAACTTCATTTTTCCAACACCAGATTATCTTTATCTTCTCCATTTCCATTTTTTTTCCCCTCTGGTTTTTCCCTTAGATATGCCATCAAACATGACAATTGATCGAGCAAACTTTCTTCTTGGGTAACGAACCCAACATAGAAAGTATCCCAATAGTGTGATTCACTCATCATTTTTAGTCCCCACTGCTGCCTCCTCTAATCACCGCAACAAAACTTGACCTTTTATCATTAAGGTCTTTTGGAAGAAATCAATGTTCACAATGTCTCAGTCATAGTGATATTCAACAATTCAAATCTTAACATTCTCATGACATGGTCACAAAACGGTGATTAAGGAATAAAATGCATGGGATAATGAAAAAGAGGGGCAAGCAAACGGACAGCAAAGGGAAATTTTGGGGAAATAAATTGAAAAGCAGCCAAGCGAATGCATACATATAACCACATGATCGTGCCCCCACCGACCAACGTTGCGATGGACTTTTGGTGCGGATTGGGTCCCGCCACGTTTTCTCTAGCAGAGAAAAAGCAGGGACCTGTTTTTTCTCTAGTAAAACAAAACAATATGCATACAGATGGATGAACCACCCACACAAGTCATAAAGGCTCTAAGAGACTTTTACGCAGAGACTAACTAATTGGAAGAGGCACTTTTTTACCTGGCGCCAACCCGCTAACAGGCACGTGTGGGTCACCCTGCTTCTCCACTAACGATCGTTTATCCAAAGTTGAGACAATTACTATGTTAAAGCCGCAGCAGCCTCATGCTCTCGTGGTCATGGCGATGCACCTAAACTCGGGCTGAGCACATGC